GCATCATTCATGGCTTTGATTAGATCTTATGTTTGATCCCAAATTCATGCAGGTCCAATGAGGACAAAAACAACATTAGTGACCCTACATATATTATTATTCTCATGTGTTTTATCTTCTTTTTGTTGAAGATAAACTGATAAGTATGAGCAAAAGAGATTCTCTTGTTTTTTAACTTGTCTTTTGTCATTATCACCATTTCTTTGGTAGCTGTTACCTTCTTTTGAGGCTTTTTTCTCTGTTTTGAAATCTAACGGCTTAGACCTTTCTATAAATGTCTCTTATAGGGTCTTGGTTTAATTGGATGTGGTGATTATGGATATGGAGTCTTGGAAGTTTCTAAGGAGTGTTTGCATTCTTTCTTTTCTCCTTGGCTCTTGCTTTGTGTATCAAAGCCTTCGTGTTGTTCATGCTCAAGAAGATGGAAAACCAGCTGTGACTTTGCAAGTAAATGCATCTAATGGTGCTGGACGACTCATTCCTGAAACGCTTTTCGGGATATTCTTCGAGGTTTGTTAAAGTTACAGCCTTCCAATCGATCTCTGCTATATATGCAATATAGTCAACTCTTGGTTTATGCATGAGTTTAATAGGCATTATGGTCAAATCATTTGCAGGAGATCAACCATGCTGGTGCCGGTGGATTATGGGCCGAACTTGTTAGCAACAGAGGTTAGATCTTTAGCTTATTTCTGGTGCAAAATCTATATGAATGCTGAGGCTAACGACAGTAATTTACTCTAAGCAAACACTTTGGTTTCCAGGATTTGAAGCTGGTGGGCAAAACACACCGTCTAATATTTGGCCTTGGTCCATTGTTGGTGATCAGTCATCCATCTATGTAGCTACAGACCGTTCATCGAGCTTTGAACGGAATAAAATCGCATTGAGAATGGATGTGCTCTGTGATAGCAATGGCTGTCCATCAGGAGGTGTCGGAGTTTATAACCCCGGTTACTGGGGCATGGTGAGAGTCGATTGTGAAAACTTTTACCGCTCGGTGTAAAGAGTAGGGGTTAAGTTGTTTTTTTCACTTTTCTCATTTTCTATCTTCTGTTAGAATATTGAAGAAGGAAAGAAGTACAAGGTGGCTTTTTATGTGCGTTCGACTGGTGATATCGATGTGTATGTCTCCTTAACGAGCTCGAATGGATCGCTGACTCTTGCTTCTGAAAAGATCACGTGAGAAACAGAGATACTTTAGTGAAGTCTGAATAAGTTTCTGTTTCTGTTTCGATGTGAGAAAAATTCAATTGTGTGCTTTCATTTGTTTCAATGTAGAGCTTCTGCTTCCGATGTTTCAAAATGGACTAAGAAGGAAGTTCTTTTGGAGGCAAAAGGGACAGATCATGGTGCAAGACTTCAGTTAACAACTACCAAAAAAGGGTCAATATGGATTGACCAAGTCTCGGCCGTGCCATTGGACACTTACAAGGTTCTTCTGATTCTCTGTAGACCCTTGAAATGAAAAACTGCAGATTGCTGATTCTGAAAATGATTGGAAGAAAATGTCAAATATTTCTATCTTCTGGTTGGTTGCAGGGACATGGCTTTAGAAACGATCTTTTCCAAATGATGGTCGATCTAAAACCTCGTTTCATCCGTTTTCCAGGTAATATTTTTGACTAGTAGCATTTTGTTGCATATATTGTCTATAGACGCACCTAAAGATTATTATTCACTCTGGATATTTGTGAACTAGGTGGTTGTTTTGTCGAGGGTGAATGGTTAAGTAATGCATTCCGCTGGAAAGAAACCGTAGGACCTTGGGAAGAGAGACCAGGACATTTTGGTGATGTTTGGAAGTATTGGACCGATGATGGCCTTGGCCACTTCGAATTCTTTCAAGTGAGACTTCTTTTTTCCTATTGAGTCTACCAAACTCTGAAGTTTTGGGTCTGTAATGATTCCCCAAGCTCGATTTCAAATATTACATGAACATTCTTGCAGTTGGCAGAAGACATTGGTGCAGCACCGATATGGGTGTTTAACAATGGTATTCATTCATTTTCCAAAACCCGCTTGTAATGATGTATATCTCTTTTGTATTCCAGATCTATCGACATTATTCTTAACAAGTCCTCATCTTTATGCAGGGATTAGTCACAATGATGAAGTTGAAACTGCCAGTATCATGCCCTTTGTTCAAGTATGACTGTTAACCCTCCTCTGTTTCACTAATGCAGAAGCTGAAAACCGAAACTCTTTCCCCTTTTTTTTTTCAGGAAGCACTCGACGGTATCGAGTTTGCTCGGGGTGATGCTAATTCTACATGGGGATCGGTTCGAGCTGCAATGGGACGCAAAGAACCTTTTGAACTGAAATATGTTGCCGTTGGGAATGAAGATTGTGGAAAGACTTACTACAGAGGTTTTGCATTTCGCTATGATCACATTTGACTTAAATTGTTATTGAGTATCTTTGATACTAAATGAGATTACAACTTTACAGGAAACTATATTGTGTTCTATGATGCTATTAAGAAAACCTATCCGGATATCAAAATCATCTCCAACTGTGATGGATCATCTCGTCCTCTCGACCACCCCGCTGATTTCTATGATTATCACGTAAAAATTCGTTCTTGCCAGAAACTTTTAAATGTTCTCTCGTGTTTTCTGCCTGACAAAGTGTTTCCTTTTGTCACAGATTTACACTTCTGCTAGCAATTTGTTTTCAATGTATCATCAATTCGACCGCACTTCACGCAATGGTCCAAAGGTACGGCAATAGATAATACGTTTTCTAATTTCGACAAAGACAAGATGGATTTTTCAGCGTTTTGCTCACTCATGGAACTTTGCTTGCAGGCTTTTGTCAGTGAATATGCTGTGACTGGAAAAGATGCTGGTACAGGAAGCCTTCTCGCCTCTCTTGCTGAAGCTGCATTTCTCATTGGTCTTGAAAAAAATAGGTTTCTTTCAACTTTCTCCACTTCCCGAGCTTTGATCGCAACTAAAAGACCAAATGAGTAAAACATCTGATGCTTTCTTTGTTGCAGTGACATTGTGGAAATGGCAAGCTATGCACCGCTCTTTGTGAACACAAACGATAGACGGTATCTCTTTCTTGCTTTCGAATTCTTTTTCCGTTCTTGTAATTACTAAGCAAGCAAGGCAACAAACAATCTATATGGTTTCAGGTGGAACCCGGATGCAATAGTCTTCAATTCCTCTCATCTATATGGAACTCCTAGCTACTGGGTCCAACGGTTCTTTGCAGAGTCAAGCGGAGCAACTCTTCTCCATTCAACACTCAAGGGAAACTCTTCTTCTCTTGTTGCATCCGCAATCTCCTGGAAAAACAATGGCACAGATTACATACGCATTAAGGTACACCGAGATAAATATCTGCAGAAACTATAAGCCTCAGCTCTGTGAACTGAAACTGGTTTTCAAAATCTGTGTAACTTCTTCCATTTTATTTTGCAGGCTGTAAACTTCGGAGCTAGCTCAGTAAATATGAAGGTGTTGATTGATGGAATAGACCCGAATGTGATGAAAGTTTCGGGATCGAAGAAGACAACACTTACATCTAGTAATGTGATGGATGAAAACTCCTTCACACAGCCAGAGAAGGTGAAAATCATCATCACACACACTGGCTTTTCTTTCCTCTATTCCTTCTTTGCTTATAAATCTAATTCGGTTTTTGGTTTGCAGGTTGTGCCACATGAAAGCTTGCTAGAGATGGCTGAGGAGGATCTAACCGTTGTTCTCCCGCCACATTCGTTCTCTTCATTCGATCTGTTAAAGGAATCTGCAAAGATAAGAATGCCAGTTTCTGATTCTTCTTCCTATCATCAGAAAACTACCACTGTGGGATGAGAGAAACGATGACAAGAAATGCACAACTTCATGTCTTTAGTCTCTTATGGTTAAAAGTATAATAATATACTGATATAATGCGTACCCATGTGTATAAAATAATCATAGTTTGGTAATTAAAGTTGCTTTCTTTAATCATGAGCATATCTTTTTGCCTTTGAATCAACAGTTTCATTACCAAGCACTATGCAT